GTACCTCATTGAGCGCAAGCTCACCCCGTTCTGTTCCTTTTGTTTTCCTTACAGGAAAAATAAATACTTTTGGACTGGATTTGATAATCGGTTGCCGACTTGAGCTAGTTGGACATATCTTTTGTATAGCTCATGTATTAAAACCCTAAATGTACTATTGGTCCGTTTCTCTTTTGGATTTGGCAAACCGTACATGTATCCACTTTTGAATCACTTTGGTATGCCCCTTTTGGGAAGTATATGCTAACTTGTGAGATGTAAATATTTGCTTGACGTTTGGTTGGGTTTTGACGTGTCGGTTCCTCTTCATGGCCGACTCCGACTTTGTTTTTTCCTTATTTTGTGGATTCGACTGGTTTTCACGCGGTTGTATGACCCGAAAAGTATTAGATCGCGCTAATCTGATCCGTAGTCCTGGCGAGAGCTGGGCAGGCAGTCCGCCAACCCCTTTGGTTCGCCTTAGGGGAAAGTGGGGCTGTCACACAGGAGCCCAACCTCTGCCAACAGATCAAGTACATACTTCCTCTGGGATAGGACGATGCCTTGTGCCGATCTCGCCACTTCAATTCCCAGGAAATACTTGAGATTCCCCAAACTCTTCATTTCAAATTCAGCCGCCAGCTGATTTTGTAGTTTGGAGATTTCCTTTTCATCATTGCCTGTGATAATCATATCATCGACATAAATTATTAAGGTAGTTACCTTTCCATGCTGATGTTTTAGGAAAAGAGTATGGTCAGCATTACTCTGCTGAAAACCATACTTCTTCATAGCTAGCGTAAAACGGCCGAACCAAGCACGTGGTGACTGTTTGAGTCCATACAATGCTTTCTGTAATCGGCACACAGTAGTTGTTTTCGATACTGTAGAACACCCTGGTGGGATATCCATGTAGACTTCCTCCTCCAGATTCCCATGCAGGAAAGTGTTCTTCACATCAAACTGATGCAATGGCCAATCCAAATTTGCCGCAAGAGATATCAGTACTCTAACCGTATCCAATTTAGCCACTGGTGAAAAAGTTTCCTGGTAATCGATGCCATAGGTCTGAGTGTATCCTTTAGCCACGAGACGAGCTTTATATCTATCGATTGATCCATCAGCCTTATACTTGATTGTGAAAACCCATTTGCATCCCACCGTCCTCTTCCCATCTGGTAATGGGACCAAAGTCCACGTGTCATTTTTTTGCAATGCCAACATCTCATCCTTAATTGCTTGAGTCCAGTTTGGATCTTTGAAAGCAGCATGCACATCTTTTGGAATGTCAGTTGACGACACATTATTCACAAAGGCTTCAAGAGGTTCAGATAGCCTGTGAGTGGACATATAATTGGCAATGGAATACTTTGATCGCTTTGCATGACTTTCTGGAGAGTACCGAGTCGGTGGCTTACCCCGATTGGATCTGTCAGGTAATACATATCTTGCAGTAGTATCTAACATAACATTAGAATCAGCAGGAGTACTTACCTCAGGAACATTCTCAGGAGACATGCAGTTAGGTACTGAAGAGGGAGGGATTATATCAACAATTTCATCAGTAGCATCAGCATTTCCATCGGCAGCTCCTCCATCGACGGCTCCATGGACAAAATCAATAGGACAGCTAGCAACCATACTTTCATCAGCAGCTTTATCGGTTCCATCGACAGGGGGCTCCGTGGGCTCGGCAATGGGAGAAACAGTAGCTTCACCGACAGAATCAGTGGGACAGCACGGCCACGCTAATCCTGGCCAATTCTTTTCTTCTGTATCCCTTGTCTCCCCCTGAAGGGAAGAATTGGATGCCGAGGAGAAAAATGTGTCCGACTCCAAGAATGTAACATCCATGGTTTCATACATCTTGCTAGTGGTTGGATCATAGCACCGATAGCCCTTCTTGTGCACTGCATACCCCACGAAGACACAACGAACAGCACAGGGATCAAGCTTACTTCGTTGATTCTTGTGCCGATGAACAAATGCTACACAACCAAACGCCCGTGCCGGAAGCATTAGAACCGATGGTAGAGTGAAATGTTGAGACAGTGCTTGCAGCGGTGTCTGGAAGTTGATAACTTTTGAAGGCAGTCTATTCAATAAATAGACTGCTGTTGTGACTGCATCATTCCAATATCGGCGAGGAACATGGGCACCAATCAGTAATGCTCTTGCTATTTCAAGGATATGTCGATTCTTTCTTTCAGCTACTCCATTTTGCTGTGGAGTTTGGGTGCATGATGTTTCATGTATAAGACCATTGATATTAAAGAACTCTTGTAGTGGCCGATTAACATACTCACCACCATTATCAGATCGAAGAATCTTGACTGTTGCTGAAAACTGTGTATGAATCATGGAACAAAATGACTTGAAAATATCAAGAACTTCATTCTTATGTTTTAACAAATACAACCAAGTCATTCGAGTACAGTCATCTACGAAAGTTACAAACCAACGGACTCCAGTAGATGAAGTGATCGGGGATGGTCCCCAAACATCAGAATGTACTAAAGCAAAAGGTGTATTCGACTTATTCAAACTGACAGGATATGAGGCCCTATGACTTTTGGCTAATACACAGGTCTCACATTTTAAATCGGCAGTTTTGATACTCGAAAAAAGTGCTGGAAAAAGGTGCTTCATATACCCAAAAGAAGGATGTCCTAGTCGCTGATGCCACAATCGAATCTCTCGTTCTTTGGTGTTATCGGTACTCCTTGTCTGATTGGCTCTACCGATACTGAAATCATCAATGTAATATAGATCCCCCCTCCTAGTACCACGACCGATTATCTCCTTTGTGAGAATTTCCTGAAGAAGACAGAAGGTTGGATACATCAGTACCATACAGTTAAGATCAGTAGTTATTTGACTTACTGATAGTAACTTATTTGACAGTGAGGGAATCAATAAAGTATTCGGTAGAGATAAAGACGGAGATAAAGTAACAGTTCCAGCTCCTGTAACTGGATACTGCACACCATTAGCATTGGAAATTTTCGACCGTCGTGGTTGAGTTACGGATGAGAAGTCAGTTGGATCATAGGTCATATGATCAGTGGCTCCTGAATCGACAATCCAATTACTATCGCGTCGATGTGAGGAGTTCATACCTTGATGCTGATTGGTAGAAGACGTAGAGTGCACCTGGGCAATATTGATATCAGCAACTGCAACGGCCACCTTTCCATTCTGACCAGCAACATTCAGTCGATCAGCGGGCCAATTTCGCCCTTTGCGCTCTTTCCACCAGGTTGGATATCCGTGCAACTTGAAGCACGTATCTTGTGTGTGCCCTTTCTTATTGCAGTGGGCACAATTAACTTCCTCAGTTGGCATCTCGGCTCGGGGTACTAAAATCGGCTCATTCTTCCTTCCCTTGGAAGCCATGACAGAGCCGATTGAGTGGTCTCCCCCTGTTATCATCACCGATTGTCTGCTGTCTTCTCGTCGGACATAGGCATATGCCTCTTCTACTGTTGGAAATGGTTTCATCCGCAGAACATCACTGCGAATCTGGTCCAGTCGGTCATCTAACCCATCGAGGAAAGTGTAGACTCTCTCTTCCTGTATGAGAGAATTATACCTGCTGATATCGGCAGCACATTCCATCGGGTTCGGCCGACGAAAATCGATCTCCCTCCACAAACCTTGCAAATCGTTGTAGTACTTTTCGATCAGCCCACCAGCTTGTCTCAGTCTAGTCACCTTCCGCCTCAGATCATACAGTTGGGATGTATCGGTTCCATCAAAGTATGTGGTAGCAATAGCATCCCATACCGCTTTTGCTGTGGGAAAACGAACAAAGGTACCGATCAAGGATGGAGCCATATTATTTATCAACCACCCTTTCACGATAGAGTCTTCAGTTCGCCACCGTCGATACGCTGGATCTGTTGGTGACGGCTGAGGGAGTTCACCATTAATATACCCCAATTTGTCCTTCCCTGAGATATACATCTCGACAATTTGGGACCATAAGGCATAGTTGGTATCATCCAACTTGATGCCGATCTGAGCCGAAGACGAATCCATGCTCGGTGTAGACTTCTGGCAGCTATTCAGGACTTCCATCATCCAAGTGGCAAAATCCTCTAGAACTACGTCAGCTTGTCCTTTCCCACCGTCCGTGAGCGTAGACGATTCGGCCATGGCTGGTTGTTGAAGAAATTATCAGAGTAACACTTTGGAGCAGAGATCCTAGAATCCCTGCTCTGATACCATGTTTGAAGGAACGAAATTTAGAGAGAGAGTTTTGGGAAGATTTTCTTTATTTCTCTGATGCAGACTAATGATGGTACCGATGCCTATTTATAGGCTTTACACAAGAAGGTCATTGATTATCCTCTCACCTATCAACCACTAACAGATATCTATCAACCACTAATAGATAACAATCATTCCTATCATATCTCTAATTGATATACATTCAAACATTAAGAATATTCACGAATCTTATCTGATACCAATTACAATTCAATCCAACAGATTTGTCCTTCACATCTAATAGTGGATGATGAAAGTGAAAAATATATATATAAATATATAGATTCTACTCAACTCAAAGTGAATGCCAGTCAGTCGCTGCCAGATAAAGCTGCAATCTAAGTGGTAGAAAGAAAACCTGAATGGAAGATAGATTTGTCTCTAATACATACCCTTAATTCCTTGAGTTTGACAACTTGCAAGAGCCAAGAAAAGGTACACTAGAAGTTGAAGCTTTCTGATAGATTTCGGTGGTTTTTTGATCATTTTTGAAGCTAAGGCCATGTGGAACGTAAATGAACCTAAATCTAACAGGCATGGAGTAAGGAACACTCCCATTTTCAACTCCATCAGGCATAGTTTGGCCAGTCGGTCATTGGTGCCATTTCAAGGGTACATGGCTTAATAAGCAATTGTGCGTTCACCTTTTGCAACCTATATACAAGGAGCTAAGCTAATAAACGTTATCGAAGCACAACTCTCCAACATATATAGCTGAAAACTGCATTAAGAATCAAGAACGAGAATCAATGGCTCCAGCCATGATTCGCCATCTTCTTGCAAGCGTTGTTCTCCTTATGGCGGTCATGGCAAACGGGCAACCCACGGGCTCCAAACATCGGACGGCTAGATGTGCTGACAGGAAATTCAGTGCATGTTACAGTCAGCCGGCACAGTACTGCCCCGCTGAATGCCCAAATTACTGTGCAGTTGACTGTTTTAGATGCCTACCTGTTTGTGTTCCAAAGCCACCTCCAGGTCCACCACCACCACCAAGACAAAGACGGTCACCGCATCCACCTCGTCCTCCACCACCACCAAGACGAAGACGGTCACCGCCTCCACCTCGTTCTCCACCACCACCACCTCATTACCATCATTCCCCACCTCCTCCTTTCAATGCTCCACCATCACCCCCTACTTCGAATTCCACCCCACCTCCACTGACACCACCAACTTCGAGTCCTCCTCCACTAGCGACTCCACCACCTTTGAGCCCCCCTCCAGCGTCATCTACACCTAGTCCACCACCAGAAGTATCTGGAAAAAGAGTCCACTGCAAGAACAAAAATTACACCAAGTGCTACCGCATGGAACAACGTTGCCCAAGTTCTTGTCCAGACCAATGTGAGGTTGACTGCGTCACCTGCAGTCCTGTTTGTAGTAAGTCCCGTTTCTTCTAGTTTTATTATCTACTTTTCTGGTCAATCAAGGAAAGAAAAAGAAAAATCACACTTCGTTTTGTTAGGATTCGTAGAACTTAAAATGGTTGTCTGAAACTAGGGTGATTTCATGTATTGATGTCTTTGTTTCTTTCCAAATTCTACTGTAACAAAAAACATTATAGGCTAATCAAAACATCCTATTCTTCATGTCCAGACTGCAACAAGCCAGGGGCTGTCTGCCAGGATCCACGATTTATTGGGGCTGATGGAATTACCTTCTACTTCCATGGCAAAAAGGATCAAGACTTCTGTATAGTTTCCGATTCTAATTTACACATCAATGCTCACTTCATTGGAAAGAAAAGCGAGAACATGACAAGGGACTTTACTTGGGTCCAGTCCCTTGGTATTCTATTTGACAACCATCAAATATTTGTTGGTGCTAAGAGGACAGCAACATGGGACAATGCAGTTGATCGCCTAGACCTAGATTTTGATGGACAACAAATACTCCTATCCGAAGGTGCAGGTTCCAAATGGCTACCAGCTACAGCACCTGGCGTTTCCATCACCAGGTCTTTTGACGTCAATGCTGCAGTTATAGAAGTGGAAGGGAACTTCCAGATAAAAGCAACTGTGGTTCCAATCACAGAGAAGGAATCAAGGATACACAAGTATGGCGTAACTGATGAAGACTGCTTTGCCCATCTTGATTTGAGCTTTAAGTTCTACTCATTGAGCGGTGCAGTAAATGGAGTCTTGGGTCAGACATATAGCAGCAATTATGTCAGTAGGGCCAAGATGGGGGTGGACATGCCAGTTTTGGGAGGACAGAAGGAGTTTGCTTCTTCAAGCCTCTTCTCCACAGACTGTTCTGTTGCTCAATTCAGCGGAACTCCTCCAATCAGCACTACAAATAATGTGGAATACTCTAACATGAATTGTGCAAGTGGATTTGATGGCCGTGGTGTGGTATGCAAGAGATGATCAATCTCTCTTCACTCTTTGACTAAGCATATGGTGAAGACATTGGTTTCATGTTATGTACTATAAGAAAATAAGGCCAGATCTCATAATAAGATTCTTATATAGTAAATCTTGATTTATCATAATAATTATTCCAATAACATCTTTGTTTCTCCGAGATGAATATCAAAATATCCGGTTTTTACTAATAAAGGTTTATAAACAAGCATAATTGAGATGCTAAATTACTTTTAGCAAACTATTGACGTCTGTTATCCATGTTAAGCTTTAATACCATGAGTGTCCAGGTTAGTTACCGGGTGCCTAAAAGGAAGCAATGTTCTTATACAGTTGATTAAACAGCAGATTATAGAAAGAAAAAAGTAAGGATTGATACTACCAGCAGCCATGAATGGCTTTGTTTGGAAAGCAATTTTTTGAAAAATTGCTACGTTTTCCATAAACACATTCTCCAATCACTTTTTTATCTCATATATATCAAATCGTTACAATAATTTTTCTACAAAAAAATCCAAAAAATGCAATCCAAACGAAGGCAGGAAATTTCTTAAACTAGCAACTCAAGGAGCTCTCCGTTTCTATTTCACAGGGAGGTAACTGCTTTCTGGGGCAGAATCCTGCACATCTATCTTCTTAGTGTAATTTACTTCTGTTACATTATTCATCATTGTTGGTCATGAGGAAATATGATGGAAGGGTGAATCTACAATGACCAATGAATTGTTCAAATCACTCTACAGGGTTTTAGTCAACCCGTTGCTGGAATTATTCTCAATCTAAATCCTAGAGATAATTTGAAAAGCAACTTCGAGTAAGGATCAGTTAAAAGTCCTTTGACCTTTAATTCCAAAAAACAACAAAACTTTCGAGGATTACAACTTTCTCTTTGTACAGTGTACCTTGGATCATTCAATGGTTTCAAAATTTGAGGTTGCAGCTATCTACGGCCTTGTTCTATTTAGCGACTATCTACCTTGGCTGTAATTATATCACACTCCTTCTCTACAAGATGGCAAAGATAGGTTGCAGTCACTCCGTGATGTCTTCTGTCTGCCACTTCGTCATGTGTTTGGACACGGTATAGCATGTACATTTTTAAGCAGGGAATGGCCTGATGAATGAAAAATGTCTTCCAAAGCGCTATCTTATATGCAGGAACTGATATATAAAACTGAATATGCCAAGCATCTCCAGATCATGTGTTCTAACATATTCAAAAGAAACTGATTCCCATCCTTTGACAAGATCCAACATAGGACCAGTAATCAATTGTTCATAAGTAACTATCCCAGGACCATTGATATTCGTATTATTAACCATAAATACAAAATTATTCCAAACTAAATTTCACAACCAAAAAAAATATATCATAGGTATACAAGCTTCCTGATCAAAGAAAAACTTTAATTTAGCACTCCATCCTGCACAAATTCGTAACAAAGTTCAAATCTTCATGACCATGCTATTACTTCCTATCCTTTAGTTTCCATTACTTGTTGAATTGAGGCATTCTTTAATTAATTCCTGTATCCTCCTCTTCATCAGCTTGTCTTTAACGCCTGCAAGCATGTTACGATAAAACTTCTCCAGTCGGACAAGGTTGCCATGATTCAATGACTCCAACATGTTCTCCCACTCTTTAGCAATGTCAAATGTACCTGATCTCTGCAGCGACATTGGGATATCTTGCTCTTCAAAAGCCTTCCCAAAGACTGAACCATGAAGGATGCTTGCATACCTTTCCATTACGGAAAGTTTGGAAGCAAGGAGCTTCATCTCCTCCATTGCGGCAGACAACATCTTCTCCGTCTCTGCAATTGCTTCTGGATTCTTTGCTTCATTTTTCATACCACCACCACCACCATTTCCTGATACCTCTTTCCTGAAGTCCTCTACCAGCGGTGGCCACAATACAAGGGTAGGAGCAAAATAATCATCTGATTTACCATTTCCAAGGACTCCACTTCGTCCCCTTCCCCAAGACCAGAGCTTATACCCTTTATCTCCAACAAGAACAGTGTGGGCTGCACCACAAGCAACTTGAACAGGTTCAGGATTTCTAGGCCCATAGAGGCTACTGGATGTAATCAACAGGGGAGAAATAGCATCTCCGGAATCAGTTCCAGTGAAACTAGCATCAGGGCACAGACCAAGCCCCTTTTCCATTCCCCATGACCAAACGTCTCCAGCTGATGAAACAACACTGGTGTGAAATAACCCACAATCAACAGATATAAGGAATGTGTTTTGTGGCAACTCCAACACAGGTTCAGGGGATAGGACACTTTTTGTTGTTCCATGACCAAGCTGCCCATTGTCCCCAAGGCCAAAAGTCCAGCAAAAGCTCTCTAATGTGTCACTCGGTTCCTTTTTGTTAGTCAGAACTGCTGTATGGAAAGCACCGCATGCTACCTCATACACTGCCCATGGAGATTCCAAATTAAATGTTTGAATAACTTCAGGGTATAACCTGCTCTCTTTATCTCCCAAGCCTAACTGGCCATGGCTATTAGAACCCCAGGAATAGCATAAAAGGTCATTGCCATTATAAGTTTCTTCAGCACTCACTAACGCTACAACATGCTCATTCCCACATGCCACTTTAACCACAGTCTGACCATGAAGACTCCAGAGGGGAATTGGGGCAGAACAGCTAACAAGAGAGAATTCCCCCTGGGGTGACATGCTTTGCTGAGGATGAGGGCAGTTGCCCCATATCCAGAGACCACCAAGATCATCAATTGCTAGAGACATCATTCCTCCAGCTTTGACAGAAGAGACCTAAAAATTCAATGTCAAAACCCAGAAAAACCTCAAGATGACCCAGAAATGCAAGCTATTCAATACCTTAAAGGGTGTCTTCGTCACAGTCTCCAAATCATCAGTTACCAAATTCGGTGATCCCAATCCGAGAAACCCTTCTAACAAGCAAGGCAATGAAGAATTCTCTTCATGGCTACCAATTTGGCCATCCATGTAAGAGTCAAGGATAGACAAGATTTCCACCACCAAAAAAGAAAAAAAAAATGGCAAACCCACAAAAAGAAATAAACTGAATTTTCAATATTCAATCTTGATCACTAAATCAAACAGGTTACAGGCAAAAATAACTGCAAAAGGATACATACATTATGTCCCCAGCCCCAGACTGATCCATCATCTGCCACCGCCATATCATAAATTCAATCATAATTCAAGTTAAAATATAGTAGTAAAATAATTGGCATACCCAAAATTTCTTTATGAACAAATCATCTAATAGGAAATAAAGCAAAGCAACCGAAGATAAATAATAAAGCTTGTATAATCAATCTTGAAAATAAAAGAACCTGCAAGCGCAAGACTATGATAAGCCCCAGCGGCAATCCCAACAATTTTAAGCTTGTTTTCTTCAAAGAATCTGATTCTGGTCGGCAAAAGTAGGTCAGATTCTGAACCTGAGCCCAGACGACCGAAGGTTCCTCTGCCCCAAGAATACACATTTCCATCCCCTGTTTCACCAAGAAAAAAGATGCATTACAAAAACTGCACTACTGAGTTATATCCAAAAATTCAACAAGATTACAGAAACACATGTCAATTAATTTCGAATTACCGGTGAGAGCCAGAGTGTGAGATTCACCGGTGGCAATTGCAATGACTTTGAGAGCCATGTTGTTGCTGCCCGAGTCTAGGAAGTTGGAGGTTGTGGGTTTATCCATGTTCAGCTCAGAAGATACGAATTCAGGATTCAAAGTCAATAGTAGTCGTCCGGTTGCTTCTGAGAGAAGATAAAATAGTAGTAGTAAAAAACAGAGGTGGACTTGCCGTTGCAAAGACTGCAGGTGTTACATTTATCTATTCTACCAAATTCGATTTCTATATAAGCCTGCAGGTGCAACGTGGTCAACTGTTCATCTATTTTTATTTTAGGGAAAATGACCTGTTTCATCCTTCACATTTCACAAAAATATTCTTTTCATCCCTCATTTTTATAATGAAGTAAATTTATCCCTGGCATTTAAAAATTAAAACTATTACATCCCTGAACTTAATTTTTAATCTGAATCAAATCCTTCAATAACTCAGTAATAAATTTCGGAAATAAAATTGATAGATCACTCGGTCAATTTCATCATATTCACATGACATTTATTAAACCAAAAAATAAAAATTATAGCATAAAGGCCATTCTTTGTCTTGGAATAGTAGAGTTTTTTTTTTTTTGAGTAAATTTTTTCATGCACCGTTAGTATATCCGCTTGCGAATCTATATGTGTATCATAAATATAAATTTTGGTGTTTAAATTTAAATTGAAATGATATGGCGGTACATAAAACCGTCAGTGTATACAATGATAATGTAGGAAATATTAATCTTTCTTTTTTATGTTATAATTTTTTATTTTTTATTTTTGGGTTCATTAAATTTTACATGAATATCAAGTTGAGGTAATCAAGTAATCTACCAATTACACCCCCAAAATTTGTAATCAGGTTGATTGGTGGTTTGATTTAGATTGAAATTTGGGTTCAGGGATGTAAGAATTTTAGTTTTTAAATGTCAAAAATGAAATTATTTCGTTTTAAAAGTGAGGGACGAAAAGAATATTTTTTTGTAAAATGTGAAGGATGAAATCCATCATTTTCCCTTTATTTTATCTATCGTTGGACCGACAAGACTTCTCGGTTTGTATTTTGAGTTGGGCAAAGTTCTTTGAAAAGTTGCTAGAACAGTGATGGGATGTGGCACTTGACAATTTGCCATATCCTTTAATAAACCTTTACATTTGCCATTGGTCTATTAGTAGAAAATTTCTCAGTTCTAAACAACCCCCTGTTTTTTTTTTTTTTTTTTTTAACCCCCTGTTGAATAAATGGATTAGGAGTGTCATATAATTGTGTGTTTTTATTTACAAATCAATATATGGACAAGCAACTTTTACAGATAATTACATTTTTTTTTAGTAAAGATTAAGTTGTTTTTTTTCTTTTCTTTTTTGGTTGACGAGTGTGTTTGGATTGTAAGTTATTTGAGATATTTTTACTATAGTACTTTTTGTGATATGATGTATGCGAGATAAAAAGGTAATTGAGAAGATAAAAATATGTATTGGAAATTGTAATGATGATGTAAGCAAATATATTTGAGCAAATAACTTACAATCCAAACACACTCATAATAAGATTAACCTATTCCAACTTTTACACTATCAAAGGCGGAGTAGATCTAGAGGAATCAAGGAGGACTAAGCCACCTTGAACTAGGAGTGGCAATTAGGTCACTAATGAATTAGTGAATCGGGTTGAAATCCAGACATAACAGGAAACTTAGCTCCAATTATATGCTCCAACTTCGTTCAAGACCAATTATGCAATCAAATGATCAAGTCTCTCGTAAAACAATTCAAATCCAAATCTGCGGTAAATTAAGACACTGTAAAAGTAGAAAATAATGTAATACATTATTATTATTTGTCCAAACATAACTACTCCAACTTCACACAAGCCAAACAAATTCAATAATGGATTCAAAATCTGATTTCTTCAAAGGGAGGCACACAAATGTGGAAATCAAAAGGCAGAAGCTAAGTTTAAACTTGGAGAAGAATGGCTGTTCCAGCGTTCCACCTTGCTGTTGGCCAGCGTTTGCCAGTGACAGGTGAAGGGCGGCGCTGGCGTCAGATACTACTGAGATTTCATCCCCTGCTCAACCTATAATTGTAGTAAGCCACATAATTTGATCTCTCAAACAAACATTCCAATAGAAAACTTCTGCACTTGGACTGGTTGATTTAGAAGAAAGCAGTCTCAGGGCGGTGCCGCGTGTGATATCTAATCCAAGTAAAACCTCCTGGCGGATATGGTGGATGTAACATTTGAAGTTGGAATCTTGCAAACCATCTGCTAGTAGGCAATGAATAAATTTTTTTCATTTTGTAAAATATATATATATATATATATATATATATATATATATATATATATTTGACTCCAATCACCATCATGAATCATCACTGTTACGAGTCACATGATCTTTTATGAGAAAGTAATCGTTGTTACCGTTGCTCCAACTTGTGCAGATAGCAATGAATAAATGCTACTATAAGTCCGTGTTAAAGTATCACCATGATTAACTTTGAAACCTATTTTTTGGTATGAAACCCATTTTTGTGGTTTAAGAGACACTCTGAATCTTTGGTAAATGGAAAAAACTAAGGATCAAAAGTCGAACAAATATGTCTAGAAGACTAAAAATATGTACGTGCAAAGTTAAATTTTATATACATGACGAGACAATAAATATAAGTAAATAGTGTAAGTGAAAGGTTTCGAACTCAGGTGGCATAAAAAAAATGTTCGTTTAGTCAAAGGATTGAATTTCTACGTACTTATAGAAGCAAAAAAAAATAAAAAGATTGACAATATCACATGAATATTATAGAAATTCATTATCGATGATGTTTGTGAAAATTAATTTAGATGATCACTTGTCTCTCCTTTTTTTTTTTTTTCAATTGCCCTATGGTTCTTACCCCTCTATCTTTGAATACATATCCACCTTTGTTGAATTTCATATCATGTAAATTTTTGAAAATTGACATCTAAAACCCATACGTAGAGTACCAAAAATGCTTCATATATGAAAGTGTAACTTGTACAGCTTCCTGCTCAAAATCCATCAATTGATTGGAGACCAAAATATGAGCACAAGTTAAGACCTCCTTGAAGTTCAACAACAACAACAACAGAAATGAATACTGCATTCGTTATCAGCAAAAGAATAACAAAATTTATACATCAAAAAGACTTAGAGCATTAAAAATTTCCCATACGTTGCCTTTTATCCTTCAAATTGAGCCAGAAACTCTTTTTTTTTTTTCTGCCAGAAACACTTAACCGTGAGATCGTATTGCGCTGGTATGAACTGAAATCAATTAAAAAGGAAGAGAAGCAACGATGAAGTTTGAAGAATCCAAAGACAGCTGCTATATTATTGGAGAATTCAATTGATCAGGCCCATCATTTGTTCTTATTATCCTGGTAAGAAACTCCAAAAACATGATGACTAATCAATTTCTTCTTATATATCCTCATGAGACTTTTAATTGATCAGGCACAAATCAAATTGCCGTTTGTCGGGTCGATGTGTTAAGATTTGATTTGCTTAGTCCATTAGATTTTGACACATATTATGTGGCGCATGCTTGCTTGTTGCTATCCGGTGGATGGTGATAACTCTTCATGTTTTGTCGCATTATCGTAGGGCACCTGGCATGCATTATTTATTATGATAAAGTTGAATTTTAAGCATGGGGGACTTAAAAAAAAGTACAAATTGAATATGTAAGAGGCTTAAAAGAAAAGGGTAAATTACATTTTACCCCCCTGTGGTTTACCCTTTTTTTTTTACATAACCCCCTATGGTTTCAAAAGCTATACATAACTCTCTCATGGTTTGTATTAAAGTGTCAAAGTAACGGAAATAGTCACTCGTAACGGAACTTCTAAAAATGTCGAAATTACCCTTATAAATACATGACACATTAACCCCCTATGATTTTTATATTTTACCATATAACCCCCTTATGGTTTAATAATTTACCATATAACCCCCTTATGATTTTCAAAATATACACATAATCCCCCTTGGTTAATACATAAATTTCAACCTTACATAAGGGTATTTTTGACATTTTAGGTGACGCCGTTACGAGTGACTATTTCCGTTACTTTGACACTTTAATCTAAACCATAAGGGGGTTATGTATAGATTTTGAAATCATAGGGGGTTATGTGAAAAAACGCTAAATCACAAGGGGGTAAAGTGGAATTTGCCCAAAAAAAAAAGATTTTTTTCCCTTTAAATTTAGATGATATGATAAATCAAACTAAGGATGTTTCAGGTTATTGGCTAGAGAGGGAACATGAAACCAAATTAATTTATGAAAGTGAAGAAAGTTTTCTAGCGGAAATGACACGATAAGTTATTGTTGATTTTGACATATTACTATAGATGCCGCTGCTTTCAAGAAATTTCATACATTTCCGCTCCGGTGCTGAATGGCTTGCGTTTGGAATTGTAATTCATATCGAATTACGAAGTGCTTTTGTCCTTTTGGGAGCCTTTGGCACCAATTGATTTTATCCAAGCTCCAAGTCAAATTTGTTAGAAGAATTGATTTCAATTTTATAGCGCTTCCAATCTAGACCAAAATGCAATCGATCGAATGATCCCTCCCTTCCTTTCTAGCACGAAATTCTTTTCAAGAAGAGAAGACTTATAATAAGTACTACTTTGATGGAAATATATAGATAAAAGGCGGTCTACATGTTAATTAATTAAAATTCATAAATACAAGATGCAAACTATATATTATTGAAAGCCCTAAGCAATGTGATATATATATATATATACACATACACACATACAAGGCCCTAAAACTTTTAATTTTGTGATTGCAAGAAAAACATAATTCGAAGAGCACGAGGGTTGGAATATTAATTCCGTTTCCAACAAAATTGACTCTTAAACAATCAACTTTTTCTTTCTTTTCTTTTCCAACTTTTTCTTTTCTTTCTTTCTTCTTTCTTTTCTTTTCCAACTTTTTCTTTTCTTTCTTTTCTTTTCTTTTCTTTTCCAAAACAACCAACTTGTTTTGTTTAGCATGTATATACAGTTATAGTCTTCTTTCCCTAATTTCCACTCCTTCAGCCCTATCTATCATCCCCACAGAGGATTCTTGGAGGCCTGAAGAGTTGATAGCTGCAATGGCCTTCATCTTCAACCATGTCATCCTCGCTAATATAAGCTGATAAGTTCAAGTACTTGTCTTGATCAGCCGTATTTCTCCACCTAGCGCGACAAAGTACACAGCTGGTTGATCTTCTTCTGCTGCTTTTCTTCCACGCCATTAAACATTCTTCATGAATTGGATTTCTACAGGTCCCACAAGCTACGATTTTCTCTCCTTTCCCCATTTCCTCGAGACATATCGGGCAAGCCGTGCCATCTTCCACGTCAACACGAGGGCCGCCTGAAGTACTCGGCCCAGCCTGAAAAAACAGCTGGTGGAACATCTCTCGAACGGTAGCCCCGGCTAAGGCATCCGTCGACGTAGGCGAAGCGAGAAGGCGGTTGAGCTGGCACGGCCTCAGACTCCTCCTCCAGAGGCAGGAATCATCGAGGGGGACGCCTAGAACGCGTATAAACACGAAGAGAATGTGCTTGCAAGGGGCGGTGCGATCAGGGCAGGTGCATGATGGGGTGGCGGATAAGTTGACAGTGTAAACATTTCCTGTGGCGCCTAACACAAAGAAGGAGGAATCAAACCTGTGGAGGAGGCGGAGGCGGTGGCGAAGGGCTCGGAAAATGCGCTCGGCGAGAGGTTGCGTCGGCTCGAAACGGTGGTGCTGCTGGTCGTGAGGAGGGGATGAACTGGATGCGATGGATTCCATATGCGGGGAAATAGAAAGGTAGTTATTTGCAGTTTGGAGGGGAAGATGTTTTTTATTTTGTCATAGGATAGGACAGGATAAAAGGATCATATGCTGCTAGAAATGTGAAAGGAAGTGGCGTTGTTTTGTAGAGGGAGGAATATTGTGGATGGGATTCTTTGGACAGTTTTGAGGGACACGTGAGGTGATTGTGTGAGGTGAAGAAATGGAAAGTCTTGACTTGACTTGGTCACCCCTCCAATGGTTGCCCTCAAGGCACGTCATATGTTATCCAACTTCTCCATGCTACTTAATACTTTGCCAAGTTATTTGTACTGTAATTTATTTTACTAAAAAATTTTTGTGAACATATTTTTTAATTATTTTTTTTTCCTTTATATATATAACATCAAATTGACAGAGTAATTTTTTTTTTACAAAATATTTTAAAAATAATAATCCAAACGATGAGAGGTGATCATCAGTCTTGTTATTGAGTTAACCGTTAATAATAGTTTCTGTTAACAAAAAAGTGTATATCAAATACTACAAATTATGGGATGTGTAGATTTTATTCCTTAGATTACTCATACTTGGAGTATGAAAGGGTAGGAGGAGATGTGCAACACATAACATGTATGGATATGCCTGTACAATATGACTTCCCAAACTTAAAAAAGGATGCAAATTGAGAGGTTAGGTTTGGTAAAAAGGATGCAAATTGAGGGTTTTTTTTGATAAGCAATAAGATAATTCCACTCTAATGACAGCAAATATAAATAATGGATGCGAATTAGGAATTTGAGTCCCCTAATCTTCAATTAAAACTCAATTACATTCCCAAAAAATATCGTCAATTATTATTTAGCAATCATAATATATCAGATGGATTGCATATTTGCATTGCACCATACGCAAAATGGCTGTGGATAATTTTTCTTTTAAAGCCATTTAGGCCTACAAATTATCTTTAACCACTAATTAGTGTTACACTTCTTCAGTAATCCAAAAGAATACAGACGAAAAGTGAAAGATTCCGATTACTTCAAAATTACGGCACCCGTTTCTTATAATTGCATTCTACGTCCTCTAATTTTTTTTTTTTTTTTTTTTTTGCAGCAAGACTCGTCCACCTGAAATTCGATTCTGCAAAATGTATTTTCTTGTCTGGCATACTTGCAATGGCTTCAGAAAAGAATCAAACAGAAAAAAAAGAAAAGGAACAAAAATGAACAACTAGTTACTGAAGACATGATAAAATGGAAAAGAAAATCCATAGCCTTCTTGATAATTCCGTAATCAAATCTATCAAAGAAATGATTCCAATCTTCTTACTACTATTTAACCATGACAAAAAAAAAATTTCCACTCAGCTTTACTGAACCAAACAATATTAAATGAGACACAACTGACTCCATTATGCAACTTCCATAGGCTGAATAGTATCAAGGCCATGAAGTAATTTTATCAGAAGTTCCCTTAATTTATTTGTTGTATCCAATACTTCTTCAATAGCAGTCTTTAAAATGTCATCCTGTTCCGAAACAGCCAAAGTCTTCCTGTCATGCCCAATATTTTTATCCTCAACACCAATTTCTTTGTGAGAAAGAATCCCAACCTGTTCATGGAAAACAAACAGAAAAAAAATCACAATGCTTGACTGAATCTCATATGTTTCGTTAATCACATCACCTTCTATGTCTAATAAATTCTGTATTAAGATCAAGAAAGTCGGATTATTTATGAATTATGATCACTTACCAGGCGATTGTGAGAAGCCTGTAATGCCCCATCATCTTGCCAAAGACTGTCCTCCCTGGCTTCAGAAGCCATATGATCAGTCAAAGTTGCATCACCTTTCTCCTGAACTGGGCTTCCTTTATCAGACCTTGATATCGCTGTTGTCTGTGAATCGAAAGGTGCATCATCATTCATTTCGACATAAGTGTCTCCATTTCCTTTTTCAACTGATTCATGCAAAATGTCAACTGGAGCATCAACATCATGAACTGCATCTTCAGATGAATTCTTAGAGAAAACGTTTGCAGAATCCTGGTTGGATGTCAAGCCAACTTCGGATTCCTTCGCACAATTTTCACCTTCGGCTGCATGATAGATCATGGGATCATCGTCATTAGCAACCAGGTAGCCTTGGGTTTCTTCCTTCTTCAAATCTAGAAAAACTGAAGAAGAAGTCTTTGTACCGACTGAGGGCAGCACATTTAGTTCGTCTGAAATAGCTTCGCCATCATCATTTACAGATTTATCTTCTGGTTCCGTCGAATCAACAATAGTGCTTGCTGCTACGACTGGATGATCTCCTAGATTAGCATCTTTTGAGAAGTTGCTGTTATCAATCGCATCTATAAAAAATACAGTCAATAAGAATGTCATGTTTACATAACCTTATAGTCTGAATACTGCACAATATTCAAAAGGGTAATGTAGGTGAAATGGTTCATTTAAGAAGAAAAGAAAAGAAAAAGAATAATTACATGATATTACCTTCAGATATCGTTGCAACCCTTGAATCCAAGATTTTTTGGAGCTCTTCCTCCTTCTTTCTCTTGGCAGCTCTCCTCTTCTTTGAACCTTTTGGCATTGTGAAAAGTTTTGAGTTTATGACATCAATTGAAGCTGCAAAAGATCATATTTATGGTGGAGAAAAGTTCATGTATCGTTACATCTGCCTATTTGAATTCTGGGACAGTGTTATCTTAGAGCTATAAATAATGAACTATACCTTTAGAGTTCCAATAAAGAGAACAATTGGTTGGGACCTCAAAAGAGCAGAAATCTAAGAGGTTCCATGAAGAGTCATATGACTGGTTCGTATTCCCATAATTTAGTTGAAGGCTAATAATTGATTTCTATGTGCCATGAGTTGCTATCATCAATCAAATAAATGGAGGGACAAAATCCGAAGAGTTTTTGCTTGAAATTTTTTTTTTTTAAAAAAAAAAAAAAGAGAAAAAGTGGATACATTTTCTGGCGCATGAGGAAATTTTTTGTAAGGTCTATTGTAATATCTTGGATCTGCAAACGCCTTAAATTTGGAATCTCTTGAAATTTATATTATCTTACCACTCTAAACTTTTTGGCGATTTTCAATTTATCGCCTCAAACTTTTTAATTGGTCAAAATTGAAAATTCTAGTCACACTCACAATCATTACACAATTGGAATTTTGTTACTACAATTATCAAGAAGAACACTGTGAATCTGTAGTGTGCAGAACAAAGTTTCAAGTCATTGCCCTCATGAAATTTATCTCAAATATACTGTACACAAATTGATCATTATATATTGTTTAAAAACAAAATATATATATATATATATATATATATATATATATATATAAGTCTACTAGTATACAAAAAATGTCCAATCTCGCAGCATTGGCCAAATGTTGTTATCTGGTCAAGTTTCCCAACCCTCTCAAAATTTATTTATTTTTTCAATCTACAAGCAAGAAGAGGGCACCACTTAATGCCCAAAACTCATTCACTGGTCAAACTCTGAAGTTCAAATCCAAACCCTCTCCCAATAAGGATTCAATCCACATATACATAGTTGTATTTAGTGGCTAAGTATTATTGAGACCAGCTACCAAAATAGTTGTTCCAATAAATTTGACATCTAGCAAATAAAAATGAAATTGACATTTAGAATGTCCATTTTTGGGGGGTCGTTGGTTTGTAGGAATTAAAGACGAATTAAAATCTAACTTTGAGTTCTTTTTTTTTTCTATATTTTTTTTTTGGAAAAAATTTTCAGTTTAGACTTTAAATGTGATGATGTGAGGATGGTCAGTATCTTCTTTTATATATGCGAGGTATGTGTAATTATTAAAACTTGAGGGGGTACTGTTTGAAATTGTCAAAAATCTCTAGGGAGGTTTGTGAAATAGTCTTTTGGACCTTGCTCGGGGGGCTGTTGAGCTGCTGGATTGGGCTGCCCATCTTAATTCCATTGGCTTTGTTCTTGTCTTGACATGCCCACCTAAAACGTTTTAAGGCCCGTGAGGGTGAAAGATCAAATGCAGTCAATGCTCCAATTATAACGACGTCGTACCTTGCTTCGCTCTGCAAATTTAACTGCGGCCAACCATCTCTATTCTCTCGCCCACCGTATCAGAAGTTCAGAACAGAAAGTTTGCAACAGCTAAAAACCCAATGCTGGGTTCTTATAGGAACACTTCCCAGCCATCAAAAAAGGTGATATTACATTCAAGAAAGAAAACAGAAAAAGCAAAAAACGCATGTCATTATTTTGTTTCTTGGTTGTTTTTTTATTCATTTAATTACTAAGCTTTTCTGATGTTTTAATGATAATTCAGCAGAAAGAAGAGAAGAAAGAATGGTTGGGAGTAAGTTTCAAGCCAGAAAACTTCATTCCAGGGTTGATAATTGGCTTTATTTTTGGGTTGTTCTTGGATTTGTCCAAGCCCAATAAAGCTTCTACTAGTGCTACTAAAAGGAGCAATTTGTTATCCAGCAAAAATCAAAGATTGACATCAGTAGCTGATGCTGCTGATGAGGAGCTAAAAATGGTGACTTTTCACTGCATTTTTTAATTCCTTTTTATTGCATACTTTGTCCTATTTTAAAAAGCTGATAGTATTTTGGTACCTTCTGATTTTTATTGTTTCATTTGAAATACCGAGTTACTAGTAAATTTTTAGCTTCTTTTGGCTTTAGGATGAAGGTATCCTATGGAGACTGTGATGCAGTTCTTGTTGGTTGCTTTAATCCCTCATGTAATCTTGAAGCTGAATAGCAGTGGATACTAATACATGCAGGTCATATAAAAAAATTGGAAGGAGAGGCAGTAGTGTAGAACCTTGGTTTGAGAGAATTGTGCAGTATTCCATTGAGAAAATTTTTGGTTCTGGAACATGCAAATAGACCATTGGTTGTAATCACTATTTTGTCATATATTGAGTTGCTATTGACTGTTATACCATGTAGAAATATGCTTCATTTGAATGCTTTTGGATATAAGCTTATGCTGGATTTTGTCTATATCTGAGTCTCTATTACTCTGCTAAATTCGATTGTTATTTGCTGACAATCAGTACTTCGAGGGATTACGTCTCCTTTATTGGATTGGAACTTTCTACAATATAGAAGTGCACCATTCTTTTATGGGATGGCTATTCAATAGAGTCTTCCTGTTTGATGGATACCTTTTCAGCTGCCCTTTTTGAGTTATTGTGCAAATGGGGTTTAGTTATTTAGGAAAGGTTTGTCTTGGTTGTGGGTTGCTGCAAACTAC